TTTAAGTAAGGCCCTTTTGCTCTGTAAGCTTTGTATGTTATATTGTGCTATATTCAAATATGTATCCATTATATTATTAAATTACTTAAAAGTATGTCTTTAATTCTTTTATTTGTAATCGGAGCGCTGCTCTTGTCATTGCCAAGCATAACTAATGATTTGACTAGCGCATTAATAATTAACTCGTTGTTTAGTATTTGCTCAGCATTATATACTTTATTTATGTCAGTATCAACAGTCTTTACAGGTTTAAGGTTTGGGAATGCTTTCGGGTCGGGCATTGCTGGGATACTCACCACAGTGGCATACGATCGGTTTGGTTTTAAATACTTATTCTTCTTCTCTTCCATCTTTTGTTGCTTCACTGGACAGTTCCTAGAGATGGCCAAGTGACCACCATGACAGTTGATGCACACAATTTCTTCGACGTCGCATTCTTTGTAGGAGTGTTGTCCAGAGCACGAAGAACACCTTTGAGAACCTCGGCAGACTTTTGCAGAGTGATTAAACTTCAGGCATTTGTAGCACTGTAGTAACGGAGGTATGTATATGTGGACCGGGTATCTGAACATCTGTATGTAGGCGTGCTGCGGCAGCGCTGTTGCAGCGAAGGTCACTGCAATGGTCCCCAGCGGAGTGAGCTTTCCATCTACCTTTCGCATAAATCTCTTGACGGAGATGACTTCTGCATCGCAGGTAATGCTTTTGTATATGTCTTCATTGCTTAAGTCTTTAGGTACGTATCTTATGACTCCAGTAATTTCAGTGAGGTGCGCCGGCACGAACGCTTTCAATTTGTGTTTTCCTAGAAAGTGTGTCATGGTAAGGAAGTTATTGGCCGGTGCTGGTTTTCTGAACGTTATGCCCACTTTATATGCGTTCACTCTGTGGACGCCAGCGATTCCTTTTACATTTTCCGTAAATAACTTTGTAAGTGCTATTGGACTTTTGTTACCGATTTTTTCGTTTTCTTGTGATTCAACGTACACTACGCAGTCTACGCTGTGGTTTTCTGGGAATTGTCGCGTGTAATTTGTTTTTGTGAAAATTTTGTAGTCGACGGCATTTCCTTTGCGAGTATCATGCAATTTCCTTTTCTTTGATTCTTGCTCGGCGGGGGCCGGGCCCCCGTCGGAATCTGGACCCATTGTATTTACACTATATATAGGTATGTACTAATTAACTATTTACACGGAAATTTACAAAAAATATACAAAATAAAAAGAAATGAAAATTCAGCAAAAATTAAAACACCCGCTTAGCTTGACTTCCCGCCGAAACCACCAAAATCATTTTACTCTATTCAAGTGTTGCCATTCATATTCATACTATTTTCGTATACACTTTGTAAGACACAACACTCAAACACAAAATATTTTTATATTAAGTTATTATTAGTAATAACTATACTATCAGTAATCATAAAAATAAAAGTGATATGGTTGAAAATAAGTCTCTTATAAAGAACTTCCTACAATAATACATTATCTCAAAGTAATATAATATAATATAATTCCAATATAATGTAATTCCATTTAATGTTATGGCAACACTAGCTAAAACAAAATGTCACTGGGTTTTACTGGCTTTACGGCTCTGGGTTGTAGCCCTTCTGAGAATGTCTCTGTATGACACAAAGGCCCTGGAGCCATACACGAAATATATTTATAGTATGCAAATATATAATAGAGATACAATAATCTAAAAAACTCAATTATGTAAGGTAGTGCACATTATATTGAGAATGTACTAAACTAACATCAAACAACCACAGGACGCATGACTTTTTCCAAGTGACATAAGACATAACCTAAAAAGGTTTTTTTTTTCTATTTATTAGGTTTACCAACAATTGTTAACACTAACACATCAAATTAGTACAATTACTTAAAAGTATTAACAAAAGTGCTACAATTAATTAAACTCCGCATGCCTATAACTTTATAAAAATATAGACGGAAAAAACAATAAGTTATTCCTCAACTAAAATTAAAAATATATCTATATATATATATAAATCTATCTATTAGTAAGAACAGTGCTACATAAACTTAAAAAATGAACATAATAAAAAATTTAAAATACATTTATATATATATATATATATATATATATATATATATATATATATTGATTTACGCTATTAACTTATACATTTACGGAGACACTTAGAGAATATTCTGGGTGAATCAAAGTGAATGTCGATTTGATCGCTGTATTCATTATAACTTTACAGAATCTGGCATATGGAGAATTCCTTCCCAATACAGTTCTTCTTAATGGTGAACTAAGTGGTGCAATAGAACTGCGGGGTAATCTCGAGGGTACACGAAATTTAAAAAGTTCCATTAAACTTGGGCAATTAAATGTAGAATTAAATATTTTATATACAAAAACTGCATCATTATACTTTCTGCGACTCTAAGCTTTCCACACTAAAAATGTGTAATTTGCTATTATAGGACCGTAGCTTTTTCGCTTTACCAATAGAAAATGCTAGATGCCAGATGAACCGCTTTTGAACACGTTCAATACGTAATGAATGTGTAGCATAGTATGGTCTCCAGACAATATTCTAAAATATTACGAACTAGACTATTGTAAAGAAATATTTTAGTTTTGTAATGCATATTTTTCGAGTTCCTTATAACAAAACCCAACATTTTAGATGCTCTTATAATAATGTTATCCAAATGTGGTACAAAAGTTAATTTTTTGTCGTATATTACGCCAAGATCTCAAATAGTCTCGACTTCCTTAATTTTATTATTATAAATGAAGTGACTGACATGTATTAAATTCTGTTTTTTGGAGTATTTAACATGATAACATTTACTTGTATTTAAGTACATTCTATTATTGCAGCAACACTGGATTAGTCTATCAATGTCACCTTGTAGCAATTTGGTGTCATCGTCACTCTTAATTATTCTCATAAATTTTAAATCATCGGCATATAAAAAATATTTTGAAAACAGAAAACATTCTTTAATATCATTTATGAAAAAATTAAATAAAACTGGTCCCAAATGAGAACCCTGAGGAACACCGGAACTTATAGTTTTTGTATTTGATTGAAAACCATTAATTGCAACAAAGAAGGTCCTGTGTACTAAATACGAATTCAACCAATTGAGTAACGAGCCACAGATCCCGTAAGCACTCAACTTCGAAATCAAGATCTTATGCGAAACCTTGTCAAAAGCTTTGCTAAAGTCAGTATAAATTACATCAGCCTGATGGCCCATGTCAATAGCCTCGAACAGGAACTCCGTAAAGGGAACTAAATTCGTACTAGTTGACAGAGACCTGAAGAACCCATGGTGATGATCACTTATATAGAGGCCTAAATTTTGTTGAAAATGATGACAAATCTACGACTCAAATACTTTGGCAAAGGTTGATAGAATTGAAATGGGTCTATAATTGGAAATAATATCGATATTTGATGATTTATGTATGGGAAATACTTTTGCTATTTTCCATTTTGAAGGAAACAAGAAGCTAAAGACAAGTTGTAAATTAATTTTAAAGGATATATCAATTCACGGGCACATTCTTTTATAAAAATTGGTGGTATTTCATCTGGTCCTGCGCCTTTATTACAATCTAGTCCTTCTAGTTTTTTTTTTAAATTGTATCATGTTCTATTTTTGTATTTGAGAGACATAAGCTGTTATTTAGTAGTGATTGTAAGTAATCGGACATGCATTCATCATAACTATCATCATCCTCTGGGCTATAAACGGAGGAAAAGTAAGAAGCAAACATCTCACATATAACTGAACTATCTGAGGTAGAAGATGATCCATCGCTCATGGTTGTCGGAAATGTACGTGACCCACCCCTCTTGTCTTTCACCATCGACCAAAATGTATGGTGAAATAATTGTTCAAATCTAAATATCTTTTTTTGACGCCTTCTCAGGACAAAATTCTTTGACAGAGTTATCAAGGGACTGACGCTTAACATTTTAAGATATTTTTGATATATAGACGCTACCATTCCTTCTCAATTAATTTTATGTGTGAAAGTCTGCCATTGTTCTTTCAATATTGATAGCGATAACCAAAGCATTCTCTACACACAAGTTATACACACGAAAATAAATTTAGCAGTTACGTTCATGTGTAATATTTTGTCACATTTATCGTATAATTTATCATAAATTCTGAATCAGCGCGCCCCTTCTATTGTTGTAGTATATATTTTTTTTTATTATATTTGACTTATTTCAGTTTCCCTCTGTCGCCCACGATACCGACGGAACAATATGGGGTGGTAGATATTTTGACACCGCCACTACATACTGAGTTCAGAAAGTCTGGCGCCAGAATCAGATGTGTATCGAATAATAAAAAACAGATATTCTGATCAGGCAATCGGAAACAAAATATAACGTGTATTCCCAGCCTTACACGCGGTGCGGCGTTGTCAAACTTATATGAAATATCTTTTTACTCGTAGCTGAGCTCCATGGATTAAACAGAGACATGATCACAAGTTAGATGCACGTTTACAAAAATGGCAACGTCTTAAGACTACAACCATTATGATAAGTTAAAATTCTTAAGTCAGGCAAAGGTCTTGGACCTTACAGCCTATCTGACGTGTATTTTATTCTGATGTGTCTGTCACATTGCAGATTTAGATTTTGATGATAGCTTAACCCAGCAGATAGTTGAGATCTAAATCCACTTCAAACCATTATTCAAGAGAAAATACAAGAATAGCGATCCGCCAACAAAAATAAAAATAGTAATTAAATCATGGGGATATTGTAGTCGTCATCGACACCCTGTATTTTTTATCTAAAAGCTAAGGGCAAAATAACAACGAATATACAACCATTGCGAAATATGAATTTTCTCTTTATTACTTTCCTTAAAAATTTGATATCGCATAATAGTTAATAGTTACTAATAGTTACTTATTTTACATAATAGTTACTCTAATTAGATCTTTACACTTAGGACATAATATTCAAATTGCAACTACATCTAAATGAGTACATAGGTGGGTGCAGTTTCCACACCGCAGTTGTTGTCTCGGGAGGACATGAGCACGTATCCATCGTTGCCCCACATGTTTGACCAGGAGTTCTTTACCAGCCAGTACTTCTGTCCGTTGAGGGTTCCGTACCCTACCGCTAAGACGGCGTGGTCCAGTTCGTCTATTTTGTTTTTGCTGAAGAAAAAAAGCTAAATTATGCGCAGTGTAGCATCTAATCTATGAATCCGGAATATGCACTGACCCCATACAAAATACAAAATTTTAAAAAAAAACCCCCAAATACAAAATTTAATGGTGAAAGATTCCCAAATGGATGGAACTACTGACATGGAGTTTTCACAGATAATAAAGATTGATTGCCGTTTGCTGCATAATATAATTCGTCACTCGTGGTAGAGTCATGCTGTAGTTATATTATGGTTGTAGCACGAATGGGTCGGCTCGATGTTCTTTTCGTATGGTGAGTGTAGAGAACCGGAGTACTTTTTACTTGAAAAGAGGCAATCCATCTGGGTTCTCAGGGGTGACAATGCATCTGCATTATGATTTTTAATCTAGGCTAGACATTGACATCTATGGGCCACAGCATTCCCTTACCGACGAGCATTAAAAAAGAGATTAGGGAATTCCATTTTGCCCTATCCTGTCAAACCTCTTGCTTTTTCCTTATTATATATAAGGATACACTTATTTTGGCCCATCTTCAATACATCGCCAATTTAGTCAATAAACATCCGTCTACGGTGTCCTTTGCCAACTCTGCCACTCCTGCAGCATAAAGTAATTGAATTGTAATGTGTTATAACAATTACCATTTTGGTTCAAAGTATACTCCGTGCGAGTAGAAGCTGAAACTCTTGTGCGAAGCGTCGATCGCCACCGATATTGGACCGTGCTTGAAGATTGCCAACTGTAAAAAAAATTCTATTCAAAACAATTGTTCCAGATTTATTTAATGCCATAAAATAAATTTGAGGCATTTTTCGACTTCTTACTCCCAATTAAGTATATTCCTCTCATGATTTGATAGAATTATTATTATATAAATACGTGAATCGTCGGACTTTTTTTTAGTCTTTGTATTACCAGTTGTGTTGCATCACGTTGCACAAGAACGTACCCGAAGATAAGGGTCAATGGCCTCTGTCATGTCAATAATAATAATAATAATAATAATTGCTGTTTATCACAGTTTAATCTGTTGTCACAGTGTAAAATTTTAATCACAGTTTATTGGTGAAATAAAGCATAAATGCTTTATGCTTTATTTCACCAATAAACTGTGTAGGATGAAATTGAACAATACTCAATCTATTGATGCAAGCAAGATGCAACCTTATGTTTACGAGAATAAAGCCTTTTCTCCTTTGGACATATTGTTATCGTTATGAAATCGCAAGTGTTTAGTACCTTACCATTAAAATAGTGTAGTAACCAAAATTGACATAGAATGTTCTACTTTCCCCTTATTGGATATAAAAGCGTGGAGGATAGAAGAATCAATTAATTCGTGAACGTGAAAGTAAACTCTACTTCGGGAAGCGACTACGAGCAATCGACCTACAACATTTGCGATTATTAAGGACCTTTTCGAAGAAGCTTTGCAATTTTGGACGACTTAATTGTATATTTGCTGTGTGTGGACATTTTTACTCACACCGCACGAAACAATATTATAAGAAATTAAGGAAAATGAAATATATATCATTCGTAAGGTAATGTGCCATAGACGTGCAGCAAAAAAAAGAGTATGTTGCCGTTAAGGTCGGTAAAGTAAAGTGAACATATGTACATTATTATTCCATTCAAAGCGTTTCATCCAATTAAATGGTCGAATTTCGACCAGACGGGGTATTAGTGTATATATAACGTTGGTTCGAAATTTTCACTTACACGAAGGGCATTCTCATTGTTGGTGGTGACATTGACCCAGCCCTTGATAGTTGTCACCAGTGTCACGTTGTCCACGTGGCAGTAGCCGTCCTGGAAAGAAACATAGAGTTAAAGATTTTTTTACTATTGAATTGTATTTCAATCAACTGTACAATTAATTCAAACAATGCCTTAAACTAAAAACAGTCGCTAATAACAGGTACCTGAAATAGCATATACAGCCGTGATGACAAGTAACCTTATAATCAGCCTCAGAAATATACAACAAAATTTACTCGACACTATTACAAATATATACAACGGAAAATTTAGTTTCCACTTGCTATCTCCCAGTCAGTTAAGACAAGAACTGAACGTTATAGCAGGCCAGCTCCCGAAAGACCTATCATTACCAATAGATAAATATAATTTATATGAAATCTACAACTTATTGCAGGTGCGAGCTCGAATAAGGGGTAATTACATCATATTCTAACTCAAGATACCTCTCATCAGCAGAGATATTTGAAGCCCTGGAAGTTATACCAGTACCTTATATATCAGAAAATAAAGAAGAAATTTCCGTAGTACCGGTATCAAGATACACTGCTATAAATTTAAAGAAAGACTCCCTAGTGCCACTGACCGAAATGGACCTGGATTTATGTACTAGAAGAGACTCCAAAATTATTTTGTGTCATCATAAAAAGGCCTATTTACTACATAAAAGACGATCAAAGTTTCTGTGAGAACCTACCCTTATCAAGAAAATGTAAAACAATTACCAGATCATGCTATAATCGCTGGAAAGAATGAAATAAACTAAATACATATTTTTATTTTTGTTGCAAAATGAAGTTACCATGTGACGATCAAGTTACGGCAGTGCAATTGACCCGTTCTGGCCTTTTTAATGTGGATCAAGGTTGTATAGTTAAAGCAGCTGATTTCTTTGTTTATTCACACCGACAAGAGCTTAGCGAGATGAACATCCGTTCTGATATACGAGCCCCTAAGATATCACCAATTAATCATATCATCAACATATCGCTACCCGATCGCTCCTTACCGAACAATACGAGTGATGATATAGCCAATAATCTACAGCTGCAGATGATCAAGAAACAGATTGAGATTATAAAGAACAACGAGCCCCTAGCAGAGAGGGTTTCTTATCATGATGTCCACCACTACGCTGCGATACATATATATATTGTCTGCGGTCCTTGCGGTGGGCGGCGTGGCGTACAGCTGGAGGCGCTGTAGGCGGTCGGCGCCGGGAGCACCCGCGGCGGCGGGAGTGTCGGTGCCTATGACGGAACAGGAGACGTCGGTGCCACAAGTTCTACCGAGTGTCAGTGCTCAGTGTAGTGAATGTGTTATGGGCAATCAGTGTCAAAGTGTGAGTGCAAATGGGTATCAAAGAAAGAATGCACGTGTTTTTAAGCAAAACAGAAGCACATCGCCTGTGCTTAGATCAGTGTACGCAATTCCAAACCAGTGTGCATAGACTAGTCTTAGATAAGAATATTGTTTAATCACCTTATACATTCATGTACTAATCAAGTTACCATTTGCACGATAGATAAGAAACAATGGTATCACCTTGTAATTAGATTATGCCAAACTAACATCCATCATTCCACTAACCCCATCTTTGCTGCCCGGGAATATGTACGAGCATGAAATGCAACGTACAATTGTCAAGTCATCATTTCACAACTTGACGACCTCTTTTACATATTTCCGCGGCAATTGTATTATAAAATCAGTTCGCTTATAGCCATCAAGGGCGCTACGCGTACTTATCAGTAATTCTAGCCTTTAAGATTTGTAACTTATCCAAAATATATTTTATCAGACTTATAAAGCGTTATCAGTTTATCATACCCTTAGTGTCGGTACAACCCCGAACAACCTGTATCTCTGGTGTATGTGTACCTACAGGTAAACCGCGTATCGATTACACGCTTCTGACACGCGTTCCAAGTGTATCAACTAAGGCAGCTGTTTCAGTTTTCGACCGTTTTACATGGATGCCGGTTTTATACTTCTCTCCATGCATCTTCCATACCATATAATTTTATCAATTTACGGCAACTTTGGTTATCCATACCTCGAAACGCAACGAACACACGAATGATGAAAACAACCGCCCAACCGGCACGCGCGCCAGAACTGAACTACTTTGATACGCGGTAAAAACCCGACACCATATGGAACGACCCTTCCCACGTTCGAGCGTTCCAACGAACAATTTGGCACGCGTTCCAAGGCGGTATCCAATTCACGCTGCTGGAACGCACGCCAATGTTCGACCTCTTGGAGCTCATAATCGATACGCGGCTATACACTAACAAATATTTTCTGTTAAAGAATATATATGGACATAAAAGTTATATTAACGTAACTAGTATTCATTTTTTCATCAATTTTTTATTTTATTATTATTAGGTACTTAAATATACAAAATATGATAAAATTTTATTCAAACCCTTAAACATAAAAGTAATTTAATTTAATAAACAGTGCCGGCAATGGATGTGAAGGAAGCGAGAGACGTGTGTCAAGATCGTGCCAAACGGAAGTCCGTTGTCTCTGCCTACACCTCTGGGTGGCATGAGTGAGAGTTTATGTATGTATGTATGACTCCACGCACGTATCTTGAGACAGGAAACTAACTCGGAAAAGTTAATGCTAGTTTAAAAATACTTAGACGTTACTTAATATAGAAAATTTATAAAAAGTTAAGCTATAAATTAAGTTAAAGTTGATAAAAACTACCTCGCGTACATCCGCTCGATAAAACGAAATGATGTATCTTACCTAGTTTGATGAGCACATCCCGCCCTCCCTCAATTGCGTACACTATCACCATCACCATTAATCCCAACACCACTACTCCCAACACCACTACACTAGGAAAGACACACCACCGACGACAATGCCAACTTTATTATAATGGATTTCCGCAAAGTAACGCCTGATTCTACTGATTATAAATAACGTTATAATTCGATCTTTTTACTAGGTAGTAATTACTCTTTTTCCGCCTAAAAGATCGTCTGGATAATTGCCAACCTTTTACCTCTTTCTGCCGCCAAACAGCTGTGTTCCAGCTGCGAGCTGTGTTTCGTATGGTAAGTAAAAGACAAGGCATTCCATCTTAGTTCCAAGGGGCGACTACGTTTTGATTCCTCATTGAGGATAGACGAAAATGTATGGGGTCTGCATCGGTTTCAGTCATCGGTATCACACATTAATTTATATTACAATTTATGTTATTTGTATAACGATGTCTGCAAGGACAGTGTACAGTACACGTGAATGAGTTATAACGGCCAACTGCCGTCCCAACAGAGGGGCGGCGGACCCCGGCTCTGACGGCTAACTCATATCATTAATGTTCTGGGACTCGGGCGTACGGTGTGTACGCGGGGTGGAGGGGTGCTCGGCACCCCGTCTGCGGACTCGCTGCATCCCATCTGTTGTTAACCTAACAGTATTTGTGGCACTTGGTCAATGTGTAGTATTTGTATGAATAGCCGGCGACATTTGGATAACCAGAATCTAGCGATTGTCGAGTGGACTAGACCGTAGTTCGTTTGTCATTACAATATCTTAATAAAAAAAAAACTAACCTGTCCCAAATAACCGCCATAGTCCTCTTCAGTAGGCAGACCATGCTTCATGATCCACTGGTAAGCCCTGAAGTCCTCACCACCGTCGCAACCATTGTTACCGAAGCTGATAGCAGAAATTTAAAATAAAATGATTAAACATACTAAACAAAATCTATTTACGTAAACAGTGTTAAAAAACTTTGAAAACGCGCTTGCTCTGACTGCATAATGTAACTTGAGAATCTTGACAGAGGTCTGCCTTTGGTACAGGAAAATATTGAACACAGTTTTGGTTATAACTTATAATTTAAAAACAGTAAAATCGACTAACCCCCAAGAGCAATCGATGAGCGCCTGTTGACTGAGACGAACAAGATGGCCGCCATTACGTAAGAACAGCGCGCCCTCTACAGCACCGACCGTTCCGAACGACCAGCACGAACCGCATACCGACTGGTCTGCAAGTTTGTATTATTACATATATATTTTATATTATATTTAGAAGACGCTGCTGCCCATCTCCTGTTTTGTTTCCCTCTGTCGCCTTTTACGACACCCATTCGATATGATATAGGGAAATCGATATTCTTACACCACCCCTACACAGTCAATACAATTCCTCGGGTCTTCCCTGATAATGACACAAACAAAATTAGTGTTTAAGATAAAATCTGTATCAATTCTATGACTACCATGTTCTGTTTATTTAAGAAATAGATTATTTTAAAACTAGGAAACTTCTATCTTTCTCTTTCTCTTCGTGGAGGACAGAGTGCAGAGTTGGCACGTGGAATGTTAGAGGAGGCATGAGAGATAAGACGAATGAGTTGATCGAAATAATGAAAGAAAGAGAATTAGATGTCGTGTGTATGTCGGAGACCAAACGGAAGGGCAGTGGTACTGAAGAGCTCCCTGGCGGGGCGTTAGCTCTATGGTCAGGAGTCCCGGAGAGCGAGAACGCCTGCCAGGGAGTGGGGGTGCTGCTGTCTTCTCGGTTGGTCGATGTTATGACTGAATATAAGGTTGTGAACTCAAGACTTCTCTGGGTTCGCTTTAAATTGGGACTGACGAAGTTATTCCTTTTGGCTGTTTATGCGCCGGTAGCTTCGTCGTCCAGGGCTGAGCTGGAGGAGTTTTGGGAGAATGTAAGAGAAGTTCTAGATTTGGCTAGGGGAAACGAAAGAATTGTTGTATGTGGTGATTTGAATGGATGGGTTGGTACCGCTCGACCAGGGTACGAGTCGGTACTTGGAAAGTTTGGCGATAAAAGGGTTAATGATGCTGGCAAGCTTATACTGGCGGTGTGCAAGGAAAAGGGTCTTCTTGTGACAAACACTATGTTTAATCACAAGAAAATCCATATGTATACTAGAGAACGAAAGAATGAGAGAAGTATGATTGATTTGTTCCTGGTGGATGACCGACTGCGAAAACGGGTGTTTACGCGAGTAACACCTGAACACTCGCGAATACGCGAGTGTTCAGGGGTGCTGACCTGGGAACGGATCACTATCTAGTGATTACTAGATTTAGGGGTCTGTTCGCGGGTTGGCGCTACCGGACGGCAGTAACAGAACCACAGTCGGTCTGTCGCATCCGAAGCTGGAAGCTTCAGGAAGCGGATACTAGGGACAAATATCATGCGAGGGTAGCCGAAAAGCTTGACACCATCGATGGCAGAAAAGAATGTGTAGAAAGAACTTGGCAGAACCTTAGGGATGGAATGGTAAGTGCAGCGGAAGAAGTGTGTGGAACAATAAAAAGAGGCAGTAGTAAAAGAAGAGATGCATGGTGGAATGATGAAGTGAAAGAAGCTGTAAAAAAGAAGAAGAAAGCATGGTTAGACTACTTGGCCTCTAGTAATGATAAGGATATGAGAGAGAAGATGAAAGAAAGATATAGGCTGCAGAAAGTTCACACGAAAGCATTGATTGAGGAAGTGCGTGAAAGGTGTAGAATGGAAGCGGACGAAAGGTTGTCGCACAACTTTAAGGAGAACTCCAAACTCTTCTGGAAAGAGGTTGGAAGGACCCGGAGTGGTGCGACAGCCTTAAGAATGAACAAAGTGCTTTCGAGAACTAATGACGTCCTCTCAAAAAAATCGGACGTCATGCAGCGATGGAGCGAATTTTATAGAGAAATGTATGCGTATGATGATCTTAGTGAGGGATCCGGGGATGACGCCGTGACTGGTACGCCAGACCCGGACCTCGATGACACTGAGGTCATCAGTATGAAAGAGATTGAACGTGCGATTCGAAGTTTGAAATGTGGTAAGGCTGCGGGACTAGACAGAGTTACTGCTGAAATGGTCAAGTATGGTGGGCCTCGCGTCTGGGACAGCTTTCATCTGCTGTGCAATTTGTGCTGGCGGACGGGGGATGTCCCGGATGATTGGCGATCCGCAGTCATTGTGCCTTTATATAAAGGTAAAGGTTCACATTTTGACTGCGGGTGCTATCGGGCGATCAGCTTGACCAGTTTAGCAAGTAAAGTTTACTCGAAGGTTTTGACACGTAGGATGCAAGAGAAATCGGAAAGATTTCTATGGGAGGCACAATGCGGATTTAGACCTGGAAGAGGATGCACGGATCAAATGTTTTCTCTCCGCATGATCACGGAAAAGCTTCTGGCTGCTAACCAGAAGATTTTCTGTGCTTTTGTGGATCTTGAGAAAGCATTTGATAAGGTTGTAAGGAAGAAAATGTGGGAACTGTTGCCGGGGTATGGTGTGGATGGTCGATTGCTAAGGGCTGTGCAGTCTCTTTACTGTGACTGTAAAGCCTGTGTGCGGGTAGGGCATGACCTGTCACCCATGTTTGACGTCCAAACGGGCGTAAAGCAGGGTTGTGTCATGTCTTCCTGGCTGTTCATACTGTATCTCGACAGCTGTTTACAGAAGCTGAAAGATAGTTGTTTGGGTGTGAAATTGGGTGACATTAAAGTAAATTGTCTGCTGTATGCTGATGATGCAGTGCTTATTGCACCATCAGAGGCAGAACTGCAGGCATTAGTCACGTGTATGAAAGAGGAATGTGAAATTAAAGGTCTCCGTTTGAATGCTAATAAAACTAAGGTTCTGGTATTTGAAAGGGACGAAGAGAGAACGAAGTGTGAAATATGGGTAAATCAGGAATGTCTAGAACAGGTAAATGAAATTGTATACTTGGGGAGTGCTTTTAGCCGGGATGGAAGATGTGATTTAGATGTGGACAGGCGTGTCGCTGCCGGGAACAAAGTCAATGGTGCCCTGACTGCGTTAGTCAAAAGGCAAGGCGTAGCGAAGAGTGCACGCCTTGCAATACATAACGCAGTGTTGGTACCGACTTTGTTATATGGCAGCGAAACCTGGGTATGCCAGAAGAAGCATAAAAGTAAGTTGAATGCAGTGGAGATGCGATCTCTTCGTAAAATGTGCGGCGTTACCATGGCCGACCGAAAGCGAAACGAAGAGATTCGCAATATGGCAGGTTTGAAAGATGACCTTATCACAAAAATTGATAAGGGCGTGCTTCGGTGGTTTGGGCACGTTGAGCGAATGAGTGAAGACCGAATGGTGAAGAAAATATATAGCGCGAAAGTTAATATTAAAAGGTGTCGAGGTAGACCGAGACTAACTTTCGAAGACCATGTGAGCAAATTGCTCGAAGAGGGTAGGGTCAAAAGTACTCGGATACCTAGACGTGCATGCATGAAGAAGATAATGAATCTGAAAGAAGCGAAAGAGGTTTGTAAGGATCGTGACACTTGGCGATCTGTTCTCTCTGGCTACCCCGTCAGGGATTGTGCGTGAAGATAAGTAAGTAAGTAGGAAACTTCTAAAATTACTAATACTGAAAGCATATAGATAGGCATATTTGTTCATAAATTGTTTATGAAAAATCAAATAAAATTGATCCAATTTTGGGGGTGGAATTTGGGGATAAATTCAGGATGATCATATCATCAATTTTTTATAGGTATAGTCAGTCCATTCTGCAGTTAACCCCTTTCCCTTATATATTGGGATTTGGGACTATAACGGCTTTGCACCAGTCTTCCGGTACCCGCTTCAGTTCCCAACATAAATTAACAAGGTGTGTGTATCGAGAGAATAAGACGAATAATGCAAAGAATATTATTAACAAATTTAAAAATTACTTTACATTTTATTGTACACAAAACACATTCTTTAAATTTCTTGCAACCTGGATATCCTCTTAATTGTTGATAAAAACAAGATTTCCTATTTATTTACCTTTCACTGGTGTAACAGCGCCGAACAGCCTCCAGTCGAATTCAGGGGGCAGTTTCACTTGCATCTCCTTCAATTCAGATTCTCCGTAAGGGAACGGTAGCCCTAAAAGTAATTTTACAAGACTGTTAAAACCTGGATTTTATCAACTCCATTTCCTCCAGGATTTATTGGTGGAGAATGCCATAAGACAGCATTTTGTAACCTCTAGTTAAGCTGTTTACAATAAATTATATTACTCGTTAACTACTTAACTCTACTGAGCTGTGATAGTTTTCCTTTTAACTTCATTATATATACTACTATCTTGTATACACTAATTAAAAATACAATTAAAGCTAAATATCCCACCTCCCGTGGCTTTTCTACTCACCCCATAGGATTGGACCTACTGTATTCTTATTTAGAGCTACACAGTAATTAAGTGCCATAGGGCTATTAAACACCCCTTAGTTTTTCTACTCACCAATAAGATTGGGTCAACTGTATCCTAATTCTTAATTTAGAGCTACACAGTACAATTACTGTGTAGGTCTAAAATCTCTGAATGAGCCATTGGGCTATTAAAACACCCCCTGGCTTTTCTACTCACCAATAGGATTGGGTCCACTGTATCTTAATTTAGTGCTACACAATAATTGAAAGCCACTGTGCTATTTAAACATCCCCTGGTTTTTCTACTCACCCATAAGATTGGGTCAACTGTATCTTAATTTAGAGCTATACAGTAATTGAGAGCCACTGGGCTATTAAAACACCTCCTGATCTTTCCACTCACCAATAAGATTGGGTCCCCTGTGTCTTAATTAAGCGCTACACAGTAATTGTGAGCCACTGGGCTATTAAAACACCCCCTGGCTTTTGCACTTACCCATAGGATTGGGTCCACTGTATCTCCGTCCCCTTAAAGCCGCCAGCTCGTCGTCGGTACGATCAGTCAGGTGGTTCACAGTTAAACTAAAGCCACGTCGCGCGCGATTGTTAGAGTGAATGAATCTGGAATTATAGTAAAAAATATTAACTGAATTAATTAAAACAATCATTTATTTCGGAACGCGATACAGAACACTACTTCAGAAACCGAGCGAAGTAAACAAGAAGAAACCTGCGGGTGTTGAAAACTTCTGCAATGACAATATGCGTTTTGAGTGACGTACTTATAACGCGTGTGTGGAAATATATCAATACAAAAATATTATCACACGTTTCTATAAGCCTATAATGAATGTCATAGTACTGTGGATGCTACGTTTGCCAAATATTCCAAGTGTGCCAATTGTTTACAAGTGTATTTAAAAACTGAAACAATGATGACCTTACCGTAGATTCTGTCTGAAGATATTCAAGCGTTTAGCGTGCTCCACTTCACTGGCGTATTGTTTGTTGTGTTTAGCCTTGAATCTGAAAAGGTATCAACATATTAGTCTATGATATTAAAAAGTCCCGCTGGGTTTCTTGCTGGTTCTTCCCAGGACAGACGGTTTTTTTTCGAACCAGTGGTAAAGTAAAAAATTACTTTAAATAAGAATTACACATGTAATCTATATTGAATAAAAATTTATTCTATTCTATTCTATTCTATGAAATAATCATAAGTTCTTTTTTAATCATCAATTAAGACACCTATATGAGATAGATAATATGTAACCAGTTATGCTATAGGTATTGTTTTAAAAGGATACCCGTCATGCAATAAATATTTAGAATAGGTTTATCTATTGATGTCGCGCTGTGCCAAATCTACCGAGTCAGACAACGAAGAGAGACAACTGTAGCTCAGACTGCTATCCGTTAAATAAAGTCCACTGCTAAACAAAGACATCCAATCACCATATCCCGCATAGATTGCCTCATAGGGGGAATTTTGCCATGGCAGGCTGGTTGCCAACTCGTTTTGCATAATTTTATTTAGTTGTATGTATGCTGCTGCCCATTTCCTGGTATATTTCCCTCTGCCGCCATGTTGCACTAGCGCCACTCCCGTAATGTATAGAGTTCAAGGTCCATACGAGAAGATCCTTACATTTTTTTAAATGAGACTAATGAGAGTTGTTCCATTGCCCCCTCTCCCCCGTGGCCATGAGTCCTGCAAAGCACCCGAAACGTCGACAATGCAAAAGTCAAATTAAAGGCGAAAAATCGGCAAAATTAGTTTTATTTAATGTGTAGTATTCGCGTAAATACAAGAAATCATTATGAGACTAATGTCATTTGTCACCTGTCAAACTCGCTGTCAACGTGTGCGTCGTACACGGGATGTACGAACTCCTTCATGGGGTTGAATGTGGCGAACTGACGCGACCCGGGACCCGGGAACGACGTGCACTGCATACCTGTAATTTAATATAAATATAAATAATAAAAATTTTATATAAATTATTGAGGGTAGGTATCCTTTCTGTCCGGCTCAAACCGTCAAACAGTCTGTTTTGTTCTAATTTGATCCTCTACTTTTATCTACTTTATTAGCTGTTACGGTCCACAGCTGCCCCTGCAAAGGTCGCCTTGGCTAGGGCCCATAGTAGCCTCTTCGACGGGCAGCCGTGGGTACGGGCCCAATTAGCCTTATGGAAAATGACCTATCATACTACAAAATAAGGAGAAGGCTAGGAAGATAAATGGTACGTACCTACATCCGACTCTAAGACCGCCCCAAGGCTCGGTCAGGCCGTAGGTAGAGTATATGCATGTAAAGTGGTGTTTAGTGGTGTGTATATGAGGGTGACCTGGCTCAGCTGAGGTGACCTGGCAGCGCGACGGTGTCCATGCTGCCCCACAATGCTGCATCACTCCAGCAGGCGTCCACCATGGACAGTTTCTTTCTTCATGGTCACTATTTCAGTCTATTAACTTTATTGTACATTTAACTAACTTCAACTCGTCCAATTCAACGTTCATCGTAGAATCGAACACGTGATACCCGACACAGTAACGGACAGTAGTTCGAAGTTCAACACTCAATGTCCCGGATTCATTTATCACGAAATTACAAATAGGGAACTAACGCGATCTCTTCATGAGTCACACGGTGCAGCGTTGCAAACACAACTAAGTTCCTTCGTTCGATATTAAACACCACGCCGCAATAAGAATTCAAAATTAACCTAGCTGACACGCAAACTAACTACAGAGTCAACACACAAAAGGCTCTTAACGCGACGGTATAATTAAACAATGGTTTCCAGAACAATCAACCGGGGTACGCCCTCGAAAAAAGGAATGCGCGTTTCGAATTCGAGACCGTATATCTACTCGGCGCGCGCGTGCGAAATCCCACGTCACCCGAGCAAGTTAAATATTGCAAAATGCACTTCTACACGCAATCCCTATATAATTTGCACAATTACTTTCAAAGAAGTTACTTTAATCAGTCAAACAAAATACAAGCCTCTTGTCAAGAACTTAAAACCTAGACAACCTTAAACCGAGGTGGTTTTCACAAAAACCTAATCACGTAGCGAAGTAACACGCACTAAATCTAAAAATCTAGACCGTAACCCCAAAATCGGTCGCGCGAAACTTCGGCAGCGGCAACCGAGGTATGCTAATTAACTGTACCGCTGCCAGCGAGCTACTGCTTCAGCCAGCGCGTTGAGCGACTGCCGCGGCACGCCTCCCCCCGCCGTCGGCATTACCTCACCTCGACACCATCGGGTGATTCGACAAAGTCGAAAGTGATTGGGTGCCGTCTCAAAATGCCCATTTTTGGGCATAAACATTAGCTATTCTTTCTTTTTTGTCGAAGTAGGAAATTAAAGTTTCGTTCGTCAAACACATATTATGTAAGATAGTGCACGTTTACGTAAAGGTGGCTTTTCACGCTGGCCAACATAGTGGCGAATGTGTTGGCAAAGATATTAGCCAAGAGTTTGTGATGGCTTCCACATTTTCGTTTCAGAGCGTTTCAGAGCTCTCAGAGTGATCGAACGCACCTGGTTTAAATTTCATATTTACGAGTCGTAACTGTCTACAAAATGGCAGTAACAATGACCAATGACGAAACTTTTCGATTTATAGAGCTCTACCAAACCGAAAATTATTTGTGGAACACAAGAAACAAAATTTCTTTTCTGCCGACTTCCAAAAAGAGACGGTACTCAATTCGAGTGTATGTTTTTTTTAATGTGTGTTACCTCATAACTTTGTACTGGGGGTACCGATTTCGATGATTCTTTTTTTATATGAAAGCTGATGAAGATGAAAGATATGAAGTTCTCGTGTGATCCCATATGAATTTGATCAAGGTCAGACCAATGGTTATTGAGTTATTCTTAAATAACTTATATTGACGTCGCTTATATTGAAGTCGGCTGTACAAAATTTATAATTTTAAATTATTTTGCATTTCTTTTTGATCACCCTTTCCCACATTCACGTAGTAGCGGTATGCTGTGAATAAATAAACTGCAGCAGCCGTTAGCACCTCCATTCCAAAAAATTCGTCCGCACATTAGCCTGAACCGAAGCAAACTGAACGACCTTCCAACGTGTGGACGCCATCACAAACTCTTGGCTAATATCTTTGCCAACACATTCGCCACTATGTTGGCCAACGTGAAGAGCCGCCTTAAGGCTAGTGTAGTAAGACGAATGGATGTGGATGTAAATGAGTTGTGTGTGCATGTGTAGCAGTGTTGCAGTGCAGTGTTGGCGGCGTGAGTGAATCTACTACCCTACATCGTTCCTTGGATGACGTAAGAGGCGACAGAGAGAAACTGAAACAGGAGAAGGTAGCAGCATTTACCTAATAATAACTCAAAATAATAGAAAACTGCAGTTGTCAACCCGGATACCAAGTGTGGCAACTATGACAAATATTTCCTCTGTTGGACAATCTATAGGGGAGGCCTATGATCAGCAGTGGACTTTTTTGAAAGGCTGTATTAATGAATGAATGTGTGCGTGATGATAATCATAATCACAATCATAATTTATTTGCAGAAAACATGGTACATTACATGTTGGTAAATTATTTAAGTCCGGCATACTTTGTCATAATGATGACATACAAATATTTATCTAATGCATGTGTGTAAGTGTGCGTTTGGGTGAGTGTGCGTATGTGTGTGTGCGTACGTGTGCGTGTGCGTATGTGTGAGTATGCGTATGCGTGTGCGTGCGTGCGTGTTCGTTACTTACTACTGTCAATAACGAATACGTTGGGGTCGATGTCGTCAACATCATAGTCCCTGTATTCGATGTAGTAGTGGTCATAGTGGGAACCGAGCAGCGAATTGAATCCTTTCATCTCGTATCTGAAAATAGTAATTGTTATTGTACTCTTACGGTATAAAATCCGTTACAAGGATATCCACAGAGGAACAAAAGTAACTAATAGGTCAACTCAATAAACTGAAGTGGCAATTTCTTATAGCAAGAGTCATGCAGCAGCTATATTACGGTTGTAGTATGAATGGGTCGGCTCAACCGGGGAAGGACCACGCTCTCACAGAATACCAGCGTAAAAAAGCAGCATAATGCTGCTGTGCTTTGTATGGTGAATGTAGAGAACCGGAGACCTTTTTTTATTACAAACGAGGCATTCCATCTGATTCCTCAGGGGTGACAACGCATCTGCATTTTGAATCTTACATATTTATGTCTGAGCCACAGCGTCCACTATTCTATAAAAAAAACAACAACCTATTGAGAAGAAAGGTTATTGAGGGGCAGCCTCGTACTGGCAAGAACAGTCTTTGGCGTACCAGAGTAGCTAGATGCAGGTGGCTCAAGACCGTATTTGTGGCAATCTATGGGGAGGCCTATGTTCAGCAGTCGACTTGTGGTTAAAGCAATAGCTATAGTAGTGTGGCTATAGTGATAGCAATAGCTATAGTAGTGTGAATATAATGATAGCAATAGCTATAGTAATGTGGCTATAGTGGTAGCAATACCTATAATAGTGTGGCTATAGTGATAGCAATAGCTATAGTAATGTGGCTATAGTGGTGGCAATACCTATAATAGTGTGGCTACAGTGATAGCAATAGCTATAGTAACGTGGCTATAGTGATAGCAATAGCTATAGTAGTGTGGATATAGTGGTAGCAATAGCTATAGTAGTGTGGCTATAGTGATAGCAATAGCTATAGTAATGTGGCTATAGTGGTAGCAATACCTATAATAGTGTGGCTACAGTGATAGCAATAGCTATAGTAACGTGGTTATAGTGATAGTAATAGCTATAGTAGTGTGGCTATAGTGATAGCAATAGCTATAGTAATGTGGCTATAGTGATAACTATAGTAGTGTGTCTATAGTGATAGCAATAGCTATAGTAGTGTGAATATAATGATAGCAATAGCTATAGTAATGTGGCATTGTGGTAGCAATAGCTATAGTAGTGTGGCTATAGTGATAGCAATAGCTATAGTAATGTGGCTATAGTGGTAGCAATAGCTATAGTATTGTGAATATAATGATAGTAATAGCTACAGTAATATGGCTATAGTGGTAGCAATAGCTATATTAGTGTGGCTATAATGATAGCAATAGCTATAGTAATGTGGATATAGTGGTAGCAATAGCTATAATAGTGTGGCTATAGTGATAGCAATAGCTATAGTAGTGTGGCTATAGTGATAGCAATAGCTATAGTAACGTGGCTATAGTGATAGCAATAGCTATAGTAGTGTGGATATAGTGGTAGCAATAGCTATAGTAGTGTGGCTATAGTGATAGCAATAACTATAGTAATGTGGCTATAGTGGTAGCAATACCTATAATAGTGTGGCTATAGTGATAGCAATAGCTATAGTAATGTGGCTATAGTGGTGGCAATACCTATAATAGTGTGGCTACAGTGATAGCAATAGCTATAGTAACGTGGCTATAGTGATAGTAATAGCTATAGTAGTGTGGCTATAGTGATAGCAATAGCTATAGTAGTGTGAATATAATGATAGCAATAGCTATAGTAATGTGGCATTGTGGTAGCAATAGCTATAGTAGTGTGGCTATAGTGATAGCAATAGCTATAGTAATGTGGCTATAGTGGTAGCAATAGCTATAGTATTGTGAATATAATGATAGTAATAGCTACAGTAATGTGGCTATAGTGGTAGCAATAGCTATAGTAGTGTGGCTATAATGATAGCAATAGCTATAGTAATGTGGATATAGTGGTAGCAATAGCCATAATAGTGTGGCTATAGTGATAGCAATAGCTATAGTAGTGTGGCTATAGTGATAGCAATAGCTATAGTAATGTGGCTATAGTGGTAGCAATAGCTATAGTATTGTGAATATAATGATAGTAATAGCTACAGTAATGTGGCTATAGTGGTAGCAATAGCTATAGTAGTGTGGCTATAGTGATAGCAATAGCTATAGTAATGTGGCTATAGTGGTAGCAATACCTATAATAGTGTGGCTACAGTGATAGCAATAGCTATAGTAACGTGGCTATAGTGATAGTAATAGCTATAGTAGTGTGGCTATAGTGATAGCAATAGCTATAGTAATGTGGCTATAGTGATAGCTATAGTAGTGTGTCTATAGTGATAGCAATAGTGGTAACACTCTTCAGTCCCGTGAGCCTCTTCTCTACATAGTATAAAACAAATTCGCTGCCCGCCGTCTGTACGCTTAGATCTATTAAACTACGCAACGGATTTTGAAGGAATTTTTTGTGTTTGTTTGAATGGGTCCCTAGATGGTTTAGATCCACCACATTTGGACTCATTAGGTGGCCCTGTTGTCGAGATCCCGAAATCGCCCGTGCGAAGCCAGGGCGGATCGCTAGTCTTTAATAAGGCTGAATCAACAATCAAGCTAATATCCCACCTGATGGTAAGTGACTACAGTCCTTGGACATCTACAACCACCTATCAAATACAACAGTTATTATGCTCTTAGGCTTCAAGCTGAAAACACAGCTGTTTCATCTTCCTTCCATACATACATCCATACCTGACAGGAATTGGCAGTGGATCTCCTTTGAGACTCTTCCTGTATTTCACCCACATGGTGTACTTGTTCACCTTGTCGCCAATCGTCTGAACCATTCTCCATTTTGCAGTTTCCGAATCTTGCATCGTTTCTGTGCCTGTAAGAAGAATTAAAATCATTAATACAACAATTTAAAAATATTTTTAGACGACTTCAGAAAAAAAAGAAGATGGTTCCCAAATCGACTGTATGTTATCTTTTTTTAATGTATATTACGCGCTATCTTCGACTATTGTTTTCACATCAAATTCCAGAGGTGTTTCCATATAATTTTGAAAAACTAACCCACCCCTAAAGATGGACATAATATAGGAGATAAAGTTTTCAATGTACTTATTCAGATGACATTCGAACTTGTTATATTCCACATAAGTCCATTTCAAGGAATAAAATAAATTAATTATCAAAAGCACTTACCAACAAACTTGAAGTCCGTCATATCCGGCAGAACCGATTGTATGTTGATGCTGTTTTCCTCAGTGCCATTTACTTGGAGGCAGGTTTCCTTGTTCAACTCCTTCTCAGTCGTCACGGGGGCTACCTGTGATAACGACAGCAAGTTTAGATCTAAAATCATGTCATTATCATTGTTTCTACCACGGATTTCGGATTCTTTCCAGACTTAGGCAGTGTTAATAATGTTAAGTGGCAACACTAAGTTGTCTATGAAATCCAACACTAAGTTGTCTAGGATTTAAAATTGTCCTGTTTCATTGCTTTCAAAATTACGTTACTGGAGTACAAAACGCTTTAAATAAAAGACAATAAAGAACAATGGCAGAAAAATAGTTGACAAAAATTATCGCATCTAGAAATAAGTTATATATAAAATGAGTTTTATTATTTTGCTATGATTTTTTCAAATAAAAATGTATTTTAATTAAAGCCACAGAAGAAAACAAACATTTTTGGGAATATCAAATGACTTAAATCATTTTACTCTATTCAAGTATTACCATTTAGTATATTCATACTATTTTCGTATTTACTTTGTAAGACTAACAACACAACACACAAAATATTTTTATATTAAGTTATTATTAGTAATAAGTATACTATCAGTAATAATAAAAATACAAGTGATATGGTTGAGAATAAGTCTCTTACAAAGAACTTCCTACAATAATACAGTATCTCAATCATAGTGCTATGTAACAATTTCATTTAATATTATGGCAACACTAGCTAAAACAAAATGTCACTGTATTTTTTACTGGCTTTACGTCTCTGGGTTCTAGCCTTTCTGCGAATGTCACTATGACACAACGACTCTGGAGCCTTGCCAGAAATATACATTTATAGTATGCAAATATATAATAGAGATACAATAATTTAAAAACTCTTAATTATGTATTATGTATTAAGCTAACATCAAACAACCACCGGAAGCATGACTTTTTCCAAGTGACATAAGGCGTAACCTAAAAAGATTCAAATCTAAATATCTTTTTTTTTTGACGCCTTCTGAGGACAAAATTCTTTGACAGAGTTATTAAGGGATTGACGCTTAACATTTTAAGATATTTTTGATATATAAACGCTACCATTCCTTCTCAACTAATTTTATGTATGAAAATCTGCCATTGTTCTTTATAAATAAGAAATTGTCACATTTTATTAAACATACAAAGTGGTACTTCGGCCTAGAAAATTCACGACAGTTCGTCGCAATTCAGGGCTATTTTGAGTAGTTACTATGTATCCGAGATTCGGCAGAGACACAATTTAGTGAGCTATATTGTGTCCTCCTTTACTCAACGCTTAAAGATACCTCAAGATTTTTTTTTAAATTACTGCTTTTTAAACCTATTCGACCGCTTGTATCACTAAATACAATAATATAAAATTTTGTCCAATCTACTTCAATATAAATTATTAAGAATAACTGAAAAAGTATTGGTCAGACCTTGATCAAATGTATATGGGACCACATGATAAGCACCAGCTTTCAAATAAAGAAGAGAATCATCAAAATCTATTCTCCTAGAAAAAAGTTCTGAGGTAACAATAAAAAATGCAGTCTAATTAAGAACCTCCTCCTTTTTTGAAGTCGGTTGAAAACATGATATTGTACACTACGGACTACAGTAGTCACTCATCTTGTGGTTTTTTACATAAATTTTACATTACGTTTAAAGGTGATTTTAAGAATTAAAACTAAACGTATCTCATTTTTTTTTTTATAATAAACACTAACAACTCCATTACTCCCTACAAGTCAATATTAATGAACCACCATGTATGGCGGACTTTCGGATAAATGCACTTATCTATATTAATTATATTTCAAAACATTAAAAACAATTCTCTATTCTTACAGCAATGTTCCGTTATGCATAATACATGAATATTGTGCCTAATGATTCCGCCATGACACGGGGAATGAATATTCCCTATTCCCCGTGTAGTGGCGGGTAAGAATACCCACTACCCCATATCTTCCCGTCGGAGTCGTAAGAGGTGACAGAGGTAAACTGAGGCAGAAGATGGGCAGCAGCATCTTTCTGATAACGGCAAAACAACAGTAAAAAACTGCGCATGCCAACGCGCTCGCCAAGCGTGGCAACTATGGCAATATACCCCCATGAATAAAGTTACGGAGAGACGGCCCCCAGTACCCGGCGGCCCCGCTATTCCTGGCTACAGTGGCGACCATAATAACAACGGGGCAGGTGGTGCGAAGAATCTCCGGTGGAGTTTTGGTCCATCTAAGACAACTCGACCTGGCAACATATAACGCACCCTGAGGACTGACGAGATGATCCTAGAGCTTAAAGAAGAGATAGACAAATTACTCTGGCACATTATAGGATTATCCGAGCTCCGAAGAGAGGGAGAGGACATAGTAATCCTCGAATCCGGCAACTTGTTCTATCACCGAGAGAGCGACCATCTGTCCCAAGGAGGTGTCGGATTTATCGTCCACAAGTCTCTCGTTAACAACGTTGTAAAGATTGAGTGTGCGACCTGGCAACATATAACGCACCCTGAGGACTGACGAGAAGATCCTAGAGCTTAAAGAAGAGATAGACAAATTACTCTGGCACATTATAGGATTATCCGAGGTCCGAAGAGAGGGAGAGGACATAGTAATCCTCGAATCCGGCAACTTGTTCTATCACCGGGAGAGCGACCATCTGTCCCAAGGAGGTGTCGGATTTATCGTCCACAAGTCTCTCGTTAACAACGTTGTAAAGATTGAGTGTGTCGTAGAGGGTTGCGTTTGCGTACCTTATACTCAGAATCACCAAACGGTATTCGCTATAGGTCATACAGGTTTACGCACCAATCTCGGCACATACCGATGAGGTTTTTTTTAAAGGATAGGGTGACAAACGAGCACACATGATGGTAAATGGTAAATCGTTACTGTGACCCATAGACATCTACATCTATCCTCAATAGAGACTCAAGATGCAGATGCGTTGTCACCCGTGAGGACTAAGATGGAATGCCTCTTTGCCAGCAAAAAGGGTCTCCGGTTTTCTACATTCACCATACGAAACACAGCAGCGTTAAGTGGCTATTTTAAGCTGGTTTTCCGTGAGAGCGTGGTCCCTCCCCGGTCGAGCCGGTGCGGCTACAACTACAACTGCTAGAACCATAATATTAATATAGCTGCAGCATGGCTCTACCACGTAGATAAAAATGTGGTAAAAGGTGGAGGAAATGTATGAGGATATCTCTAAATCCATGCATTCCTCCAAAACCCAATATACGGTGTTAATGGGAGACTTCAACGAAAAACTAGGCACAAGAGATAACGGTGAGCTAAGGTAGGGAAATTTGGAATAGGGCGACGGAATCCAAGGGGCCAGCAGCAGGTCGACTTCATGGAGAAAGAGGGACTCTTTATGATGAACTCTTTCTTCCAGAAGCGACGCCAAAGAAAGTGGACCTGGTCGAGCCCGGACGGTTCGACAAAAAATGAGATTGACTTTCTTATGACCACCAGATAACAACTATTCAGTGATGTCTCCGTGATCGCGGGGGTGAAAACCGTCAGCAATCACCTAATGGTGAAAGGCACACTGAACCTAAACGTTAAGTTGGAGAGGTGTTCTAATCCAAAGTTCGAAACCATTTCCTTGAGCTACAAAATCGTTTTCAGTGCCTAGACGATTGCAAAGCAGTGGACGATATGAATGACATGCTCGTGGAAACTGTACATGCGGTCGGAGCTAAGTTCTGCAAGATCCGCCGCAGAAGAACACAAAAACTCTCCGATCACACTCTGAATCTCATGGCTGTTAGACGGGAAATGAAGCAGCAGTCTTCAGCAGATTTGACAGCATACAGGCAACTGAACTGACAGATCTCCAAATGCATTCAGCGAGATTTACACAACTTCAATACAGCTCGTATTGAAGAAGCGATCGAGCGGAACCAGTGCTCCAAAGTCTTTACTAGAGATCTGTCTGCCAGAAAAAGCCAACTGTTGAAGCTGAAGTTAGGAAGTGTGGCAGCATTGTTTCAGGGACACCTGAGATTTTGAGTGAGATAAGAGGTTCTATGGGCAGCTGTACACATCATCGTTGGAACCACACGCAAGTGTGAGTAATGTTCCAAGAGCAAGTGTTATCAGACACAATTCCGATGATATTCCGGACGTCAGTCTGAGAACCTTAAAAGCGGCACGGCCCCAGACGATGATGGAATTACAGCGGAGCTACTGAAAGCGGGTGGAAAACCGGTACTTGAAGTCCTTCAGAAGCTCTTTAATTCCGTCCTCCATTGTAGCACTGCACCGGAGGTGTGGAGCAGAAGTGCGGTGGTCTTATTTTTCAAGAAAGGCGACAACGTTCTCTGGAAGAACTAAAGACCGATTTCCCTTATGAGCCGCGTTTACGTTCTCTTTTCGAGTCATTACGAATCGTCTCGCATGCAGACTCAACGGCTTCTAACCTCCTGAACAAGCCGGTTTCCGAAAAGGCTTTAGCACCATAGACCACATACATACCCTTCGGCAAATTGGACAGAAGTCAGAGGAGTACAATTTGCCACTATGTCTGGCGTATGTGGACTATGAGAAAGCCTTTGATTCCGTCGAAATTAGGGCGGTGCTGCAGTCCCTTCAGTGGTGTCAAGTGGACTGTCGTTATATCGAAGTGCTGAAATGTTTGTACAGTAGGGCTACTACTATGGCTATCCGAGTATAGAACCAGAATACGAAACCTATCAACTGCAGAGAGGTGTAAGACAGGGTGACGTTATATCCCCGAAACGCTTTACCGCTGTATTGGAAGACTTTTTCAAGCTTCTGAACTGGAAAGGATACGGTATTAACATCAACGGCGAGTAAATCACTCACCTTCGATTTTCCGACGATATAGTCCTTATGGCAGTATCGCCGAAGGACCTAACCTCTATGCTCAATGACCTCAATAGTGCCTCCCAACGGATTGGTCTTAAGATGAAAGTGGACAAAACAAAGATCATGTATAACGTCCATGTCACACCTATGCCGGTAGTTGTTGGGAGCACTAAGCTCGAAGCTGTTGACGAATATGTTTACCTGGGACAAATAGTCTGACTAGGTAAGTCCAAGTTTGACCGAGAGGTCAATCGACGCATTTATCTCGGCTAGGCAGCGTTCGGGAAATTACAGCACATCTTCTCGTCAGGTATACCTCAAAAACTCAAAACTTGAAAACGAGACTGTACAACCAGTGCGTGTCGCCAGTGATGACCTGTGGAAGTGAGACGTGGTCCTTCACTGCTGGCCGTATGAAGAAACTCAAGCTCGCTCAGCGAGCTATGGAGAGGGCTATGCTCGGGGTTTCTCTGCATGATAAACTTAGAATTGAGGATATCCGTAGTAGAATCAGAGTAACCGACATAGCCCAACGAATTAGTAAGCTGAAGTGACAATGAGCCGACCATATAGCTCTAAGAACCGACTACGTAAATATTACAACAAATTTATGCTGAGTGTAGTCTTTTTATAACAGACCAGAACACATAAAGCTTATGCTTACATTGCTTTGTTTACATTTGGTTTTGTAGTTAATTAACTGTCGTCTATTATGTTTTGTAACATGAGTATTGGTGTATTGTTTTGATACCTAAAGTAGCGATCCGCCCCGGTTTCGCACGGTTTATTTCGAGACCTACACAGCAACGCAACCTACCGGGTTCAATTGTGAATCTAAACCATGAAGCAAATACAAAGAGGTCGTGTTGTAATTAGATTTCACTATGTAACAACGCGTGACAATTTGCGGGGTGAGGGGAAGTTAAACCCCGCCCACTTTACACTATCTACATCTACCGATAAATAGTAAAACTACTCGCATCGTTCCATATCGATGTTGTTACTTGTAAAGTCTTGTCTCTCTCTTTTCACTACATGACAATAAAAAGAGACATATAGAGATAATATGAAAACATTATCTCTGTATCTGTCTCTACAACAAACACAGCCACAATCCTTCTTATATTATTCTGCTGGAGCAATTAAAATTCTTTTTTTCTACCGACTTCAAAAAGGAAGAGGTATTCAATTCGACTGCATGTTTTTCTTTTTTTTATGTGTGTTACTTCATAACTTTTTTCTGGGTGAACCACACAGCAATTTGCTACGTGGAGTGAACCGATTTTTATGATTCTTTTTTTTAAATTTGAAAACTGGTGCTTCTCATGTGGTCCCATATAAATTTGATCAAGTTGTGACCAATAGTTTTTGAGTCTTAATAATAATTTATATTGAAATCGGTTGTAAAAATTTAAATTTTTAATTATTAGATTCTTACCTTGATGGAGGTACCATACTTGGGGAAAACGGAAGAAGACAGTTGGTAAGTTCTGACCATGTTGCCGTAGTAGTCAATCCGGGACTTGCCATTCTTGCCGTCATACCTGTAATAAAAAAAAGTTTATTGTAACTTCCGGTACATGGACATTAGCATTAAAATTAACTCGGGTTAAATTAAAATGTTAAATTAAAACTTGTAGTGTGCCGATGTAAGAATATCTACAACCCTACTAAGAATATTCATCGTCACGTGGGTGTTGTAAGAGGCGACAGAGGGAAACAAAGCTGGAGATGGAAACCTAAGCGTTCCGTGAAATTATTTATACATACATACATACATAAACACTCACGCCTGTCACCCAGAGGGGTAGGCAGAGACTACGGACTTCCAATTGGCGCGATCCTGACACACCTCTCTCGCCTCTTCTACATCCATATATCTACGCATACACGCTCGTCGGTTAAGGGTACTCCTAATCTGGCCCATTTTTAATGTATCGCCGATTTGGTCGATAAACCTTCGTCTAGGGCGTCCCTTCCCGACCCTGCCGTTCACTTCTGCAACATAAATTTGCTTTGTCACTCTTTCCTCGTTCATTCTTTCTACGTGACCAAACCACCGAAGCATTCCTTTCTTAATCCTTGTCACAACGTCATCTTGCAAACCACACTTTTCTCTTATTACACAAATTATTTATTTATGCTTTTTAAATAATTCCACAGTGGGGTACAAATATTATTTTGGAATAGTCCAAAATAAATCATGAGCATACCCACTAATGTTATAGCACGTATGTACGTTACGTAGGTAGTAACCAAGCATTAGGCAGTAAACTGCAGAGCAGTAATTAGTAAAAAAAAAATATAGGATTAGGTTGACAAGCACACACAGTCCACCTGATGGTAAGTGGTTGCTGCGGCCCATAGACATCTACATGTATCCTCGTTTGCGAATGAAAATGCAGATGCGTTGTCACCCGTGAGTACTAAGATGGAATGCCTCTCTGCCGTTGAGCTGCTATTTTCCGCTGGTATGTGAGAGCGTGGTCCTTCCCCGGTCGAGCCGATCCATTCGTGCTACAACTATATTATTACTAATATAGCTGCAGCATGGCTCTACCACGTATAAAAACTAAGACAGTGAGAGAATAGAGTGCACATATGCTTGCGCATGCACCTGGGCACAATAATCCTGTCCTGCGCAGATGGATTGTATCCGTTGAGATGAGCCGCAGTGACCTCGAGTATTCGTTCTGGAGGACATGAAATGTCACTAAGCCGTAGTAGGCGAGTTTATAACCACAATTTTTTATTTTCTTATTGTTATGAAATAAAAGCCGCTGCCCATCTCCTGGTTTGTTTCCCTGTGTCGCTTCTTACGAGTTTACGACACACACTCTTTACGTGGTAGAGCCATGCTGCAGCTATATTAATAGTATAGTTGTAGCACGAATGGGTCGGCTCGACCGGGGAAGGACCACGTTCTCACAGAATACCAGCGTAAAATAGCAGCTTAATGCTGTTGTGTTTCGTATGGTGAGTGTAGAGAACCGCAGACCCATTTTACTGCAAAAGAGGCATTCTATCTTAGTCCTCACGGCTGACTACGCATCTGCGTTTTAATTCGCAACTGAAAATAGATGCAGATGTCTATGGGCCGCAGCAACCACTTACCATCAGGTGGACTGTGTGCTCGTTTGTCACCCATTTCTATAAAAAAAAACACACGGGTCGATATGGGGTAGTGGGTATTCTTACACGGCCACTATACGGTAATTATAATATTTAACGTGACTATACGAATATCGTCACTACACGGTATTCGTATAGTCACGTTAATTAAAGCTATTTTAACGGGTTAATTACAATCCGATAAAATTAGTTTAATTGGAATATAATTATAATTCAACTACACTTGTAAACGAGACGAATTAATAACCTTGCGCTATTATAATTAACAATAACAACCGTGACAATTATAATTTCAATACGATTATACTTAGTCAGGTCATAAATTCTGTCACATGTTTAATATAAAATAATTAAAACAAGTTTATTCATTATGTAACCATTTATATACCAAAATGAACTTAACAAAACATAGATTCTTATGACACTTAAAGTTTATTGACAATGACCTCCGTGATTTTGAATACAGGCCTTCAATCTGCGCGGCCAGTCGTCTATCGCAGCACGAACGCGGTCCATGTCAATATCGGCGGCTGCCTTAATCAAGGATGTCTTGAGTGACTCTAAATTGGGATGAGGCTTTGAGCACGCCTTTTCCTCCAAGTGTTGCCATATCTTGTAATCTAACGGATTCAAATCTGGACTGGAGGAGGGCCAGTCTTCGTGCCGGGTGAAGTCGATTTCACGCGCCGCCAGCCAGTCTTGTGTGCTCTTTCCTCTATGAGCTGGCGCCGAATCTTGTTGGAATAGCCAGTGCCTGTTATTGAACATGGTATGAGAAACAGGTTCCACAAGGTTCGTCAGGACTGTATTTTGATACATAACTGCATTCGTTTTTACACCTTTCTCACAAAAATGTACCTCTGTTAAGCCCCAATAAGAAACTCCCAACCATACCATGAGCGAGGATGGAAAATGACCTCGTTGGACACGCGGAATACGGTTGCTCGCTTCTTCACTACTGTGTGCGTTCACCTTATCATTTTGTTTGTTGTAGCTCTGTTCTACGGTAAAAATTTTTTCATCCGAAAAAAGAATTTCCCGATATTTTTTCCCGCGTACCGCTTCAACAAAGCGCGGCATCTCTTCAGTCTCATGTCCATTAGACGAGCATTCAAACGATGTCCTGTTTTTCTTCGATAAGCCCGAAGCCCTAAGTCTTCATTTAACACCCTTTTCACCGTGGTTCTGCTTAACCCCATCTGAAGGGCCAACAGGTTCTGCTTACGTTTGGGATTTCTTTGAATTCGCGCCTTCGCAGCTTTTATCACTGCTGGAGTCCTAACAGACCGAGGGCGACCACTTCTTGACCTGTTATCTACACTAGAGTCTTCATTGTATCGTTTGATGGTACGATAAACGAATCGTTTGGTTATATTTCAGTATGTCAAAAATTTGAATTGGCGCGTAACAGCAACGATGCAACGCAATAACTGCAACACGGTCTTCTTTAAGCGTCCACTCCATATTTAAAAAAGAGTAAAATTCTAAAAAGTATACAGTTTTATTTTCATGAACAATTCGACATTCGAATTCAATAAACTTTTTTGTGGCCAGCATTCTAAAAGAAAAGTTTTTACTGTGTGACAATACTTATGACCTGACTAGATATATAACGTATAGCAGTCATAATTAATATGAATCTATTCAGGCTACATTTATATTCCTAGCTCTTGACTTTAATTATAAAGAATAAGGGTGACAAACGAGCACAAAGCCTATTTGAGGACTAAAAGAGAATGCCTCGTTTTTGAAGTGTCTCCGGTTCTCATCTTTCACCATACGAAACATAGTAGCATTTTTCTGCTGTTTCACGCTGGTATTCTGTGAGAGCGTTGTACAGCCCCGGTCGAGTCGACCAATTCGTGCTGCGACCATATGTAACTGCAGTGTGGCTATGTGGTAAAGCCATGCTGCAGTTAATATAAAAAGTTAAAGTTACAGCTTATATATATACCACTGTTGGGCACAGGCCTCCTCTGATTTCTGAGAGGATTTTAGGGCAAGGAAATGTCCACCGCGCTGCTTTTTTTTCTTATTTCTCAGACATGCAAGTTTCCTCACGATGTTTTGCTTCACTGCAAGTGGTAAATCAGCACATAAAATTGCAATTAACAATTTCACTGATGACGGCGGGGATCGAATCCGGGTTTCCCGCGTGCTGTGAAATTTACAGCGAGCGATAATCATCTGAGTTACCACCGCTCTATGCAGTTAATATAGCTGAATGCTATTATATGGACCTAGCTCTCACAGAATACCAGCGTAAAATATACGCTCAATGCCGCTGTTTCGTAAGGTTACAGAAACGAATGCCGTTACTACTATTAACGAGGTATTCTGCCTAAGTAGGTATTCTATCTATCAATCGCGTCTGCATTTTGATTCTTAATCGGCGATAAATATAGTTGTCTATGGACCACAGCATTACTCACAATAAGCACTATGCACTCGTTTGACACTATTTTCTAGAAGAATACTTGTTCCATATTTTGAAATATCTTTACAGGAAAACATACAAAAACCTGCATTGCATTCTTAATCTACCCTAGATCTTATCATGAAGTTGTGACGAATTACTCTGAGCGACTGGGAGACAATCAACAACAAATAAAATAATTTAGACAGAAGCTGACAATATTGACGCAATTCATTAAATCTTTATACCTAAATATTATGATTGTTTATATTATTTGAACTTTATCGCGGGGTCACTACGATACCCCCGATGTTTCTCGTTCGACGATTCTGTACACTGCTCTTTAATCTAAACAAATAGTTATATCTTGAGGTGGTCTTTGACCTTCTTTCGTCCCTTTTATGTAGCTATTCTTCACCTTCTTTTCTACCGATTTCAAAAAGAAGGAAGTACTCAATTGGACTGTATGTTTTTTTTTATGTGTCCTCATAACTTTTTACTGAGTGTACCGATTTCGATGATTCTTTTTTCATTTGAAAATTGGTGCTTCACATGTGGTCCCATATAAATTTGATCAAGGTACTGACCGATAGTTTTTGAGTTATTTTTAATATAATTTCTATTGAAGTCGGTTGTACAATATTTTTAATTTTAAATTATACTTTATGTATTTGATTTGCACTCAATTTAAATAAAATTAAAATACTACTATGTGAACCGTGTAGTGGTGGGGATATGAATAACCACTATCCCATATCACACCAAGAGTGTCGTAAGAGGCAACAGAGGGAAACTGAAAGAGGGGATTGGGCAGCAGCCTTTTCCTTATAAGAATTCAAAAAACCCTCCTACGAGGGCAATCTCTCTGTGGGGAGTGAAATTATTATAGCTTCCCTTCGAAGCACCGCTGTGTTTCAATATGATGGTAAGCTATAATAATTTCAGGCAGAGAGGCATTACATTTTGTATCAAAGCGTAGATGCACCGTAAGAAAAACAGCCCCATATCATCCCGAGTGTCGTTAGATGTTCCGTTTATTATTTTTAAACGAAATACAAAATCGATTTTATGCAATCAGTTTTTCCTAAACAATTAAGTGTCGTATTAAATTGGTTTGGTCTCGCGGAGACGTTGCATCTCTGCAAGTTCTATCGTGTACCAAAGAATGTTTATACTTCCGAGAAGTTGTTAGGAGTTAATTTAAGCTGCTAAGTTCCACAAACGTCCTCGAGATAAAACTTTTAATTCCTTCCACCTTATCTAGGTGGTTGGCAGTCCACCACCGAGCGTTGTCCAGGAGCTTTCCGACACGCACGAATATATTGTCGAATTTACGGTCGCTAGCGGGCAGATGGCATAGAGAAAAGCGCACACTTCTTTCTGAAAGGCCAATAACGCACCTGCAATTCTTCAGATTTTTATGGGCGGCTGTGATCATATACAATCAGATGGGCAATATTCATATCAATAATCATTTGCCTCATCTTGGATGGAAAAATGTGGTTGTGGCAAGTAGCAGATTTATGTTGCAGAAGTGAATGCTAAAGTCGACAAAAGTCTCTTGCTCGGAAGAATTAGTAATATATATGAAAAAAGGGTAAAATTAAGAGTACCCTTAACCGACGAGCATGTGTTTATAGATGTGAAAGAAGCGAGAGAGATGTGTCTGAATTGTGCAAAGTGGAAGTCCGTAGTCTCTGATTTTTCCCCTGGGTAGCTGGCATGAGAGTTTATGTATGTATTTTTTTATAGGATAGGGTGAAAAACGAGCACACAGTCCACCTGATGGTAAGTGGTTGCTGCGACCCATAAACATCTACATCTATCCTCAATGAAGAATCATAATTTAAAATATAAAAATTTGTACAGCCGACTGCAATATAACTTATTAAGAATAACTCTAAAACTATTGGTCTAACCTTGATCAAATTCATATGGGACCACATGTGAAGTACCAGCTTTCAAATAAAAAAATAATCATCGAAATCGGTTCCCCCAGTACAAAGTTATGAGGTAACACACATTAAAAAAACATACAGTCGAATTGAGTACCGTCTCCTTTTTGGAAGTCGGTAGAAAATGCAGATGCGACGCCACCCGTGAGGAATAAGATGTAAAATAAGGGTCTCCGGTTCTCTACACTCACCATACGTAACACAGCAGTGTCAAGCTGCCATTTTACGCTGGTATTCTGTGATGTATAAATGTGTGTATTAATAAAATGTGTGTAAAAATAAACATCATAATTTCTTTTCGAGATATGCAGATGGAAAAGTTCACTAAAGTATGAACGTATGAACAAACGTACGGACTTAGAAATTAACAAACACACATTGTTCTAAATACTCAAAGCGTTGAGACGTGTGCGCAACAAATATCAAATGGAAAGTTAAAAATAACGCCTATCATTATTTTGCGCCATTCTATTTGTATAGTTTTAGTCACAATGAAAACAACTACTTCGCGGAAATTATATCCTTCTTTGATGAATTTTGGTTGAACGCCCTATTGAGGTCAAGAAACAGTGACAATAATGTACGCCGCAGCTTGAAGTCATATTCTATTTGTGATTTTTTTTAACTGAAATCACATACGAACTGACACTCCACCTGATGGTAAGCTACTGTAGTGTAGGTGTTGTTATACGTGGGTAGAGCCATTCTGCAGCTATATTAGTAGTATAGTTGTAGCACGAATGGGTCGGCTCGACCGGGGAAGGACACAGCAGGGTTAAACTGCTGTGTTTCGTATGGTGAGTGTAGAGAACCAGAGACTGCATTTTGATTCGTAATCGAGTATAGATGTGTTATGCAGTGTTAAACCATATAAAACAGCAGTGTTAAACCATACGAAACACAGCAGTTTAACCCTGCTGTGTTTCGTATGGTGAGTGTAGAGAACCGGAGACCCTTTTTGCTGGAAAAGAGGCATTTCATCTTAGTCCTCACGGCTGACAACGCATCCTTTTCGCCCTATCCTATATATCCTTCCTGCTCCGCGATCACGCCATACCTAGTGAATATTCTATCACAACATACTTTTGACCCGGGTCGCATCAAAGTAATGATGATTGCAATTACATTTTTTGAACATTCCTGATCAAACAAATGACAGGACCTACAAGCAGAGGCTTAGGTTAAAAATTCTCTCAGAGAATGATTGCCCCGAATGACCCGGTTGTGGAAATGAATGAATAACACATGCCTACATCCTATGTACCCACAACCAACTTCAAGCAAAGAAAATGCGTCACCCTTAAAAACAAAGACGAAATGCCTCACGTGCCAATCACGTGCAATTTGTTTGCTCCAGACGTAAAATACTCAGACCAGTGACGAGCAGCAACTTCAAATGTGTGAGATATCTGGATAGCTGCGATTTCCAATCAGCCTGTCTATCGTGGCGATTAAGGCGACACCGCGAAAAAATACATCTCCTTTCATCGAATAGTATAGGACAGGACAGGGGTCGGCAACATTTTGAGTCGGAAGAGCCAAAAATTACAGTTTACAAAATTTCAAAGTTTTTAAAGAGCCACAAATTTTTTTCTTGCCAACCGTAAATAGTACTTGCATAAATAATTTTTTGATAAAAAAAAACCAATTTATTTATTATTAAGGCTCAGTGTGGATCGATTTTCAATGTTTTTTTTTTTTATAAATTAAATAATAATTGCGTATGAATCTCTCTAAAGAGCCGCAGGTTGCCGGGCCCTGGTATAGGAGTATGACACGACTAACGAAACTGGCATTTTGATATAGGTGAATTCATGTCTTTATCTTGAATTTGCTTGTTCAAAAACACGATTGTAAACTTTTGACTCAACAATAATTATTTGCGAAAACACCTCTAAAAATCACTATAGTTGAAATTACAACGAAATTACTTAATCTATATGCTTGGGAACCACTCAAATACATTCATAACATCAATATTCGTAATTGACTTGCTGATTATTTTGATTACTAAAATCAATAATTTTTTAAAAATATTTTGAGATTCTAAGCGATTTCTAAGCGGTCTGAACCGTCGCGGGCGCTACGCAATTTTAGACCTTATGATGGCGTTTTTGAAGTTTTTATAGAAATTAAGTTTCACTTAGGTCAGTCCGGTGATAAGCCCGCATCAACGATTTTCGATGTGTTGCCTTAAGGCAAATTCTAACCACAACGGGAATTCCCTTTATGCAATTTGATGGGTTGGTGAATTCCTGTCAAGGGTAGATTAGAACAGTAACTGCCTCTTTTTTTATAGAAAAAGGGCGACAAATAAGCACACAGCCCACCTGATGGTAAGTTCAGGCTGTAGTGCATGGACATCTACATCTCTCCTCGATAAATAAAAATTAAAATGCAGATGCGTTGTCACCCGTGAAGACTAAGATAGAATGTCTCGTTTGTAGTAAAAATGGTCTCCAGGTACCTACATTTACAATACAAATCACAGTAGCATAAAGCTGCTGTTTTACGCTTGTATTTGGTGAGAGCGTGATCCTTCCCCGGTCAAGCTCACCCAATCCTACTACAACCATTATATAGCTGCACCATGGCTCTACCGCCTAAAAATATATGATATCCCTCATATAATATATGCCTTAAATTCTAATGCGCAATAAACAGCTTACATACATATTTAGAAATTGTTACTGTGATCGAATTTAGTAAAGGACTATCCTATTATTTGACAATTTTTAATTACTATTTTAAATACATTGCTAACTAGTAAGTATAAAAGTACATGTTACGCAACAACTTTGTTTTCGTCATCGACAAATTGCTAACACGAAATCAATACGGCCGACAACAGCTGACTCATTATTTTTGCAAGTGTTATTTAAAATAAACAAAAAAGACAATGCATTATTAAATGTATGTCATATTTTGCAAAATAGTCCACAATATGTTAAAGAGAAATATCTACAGTGTACTAGTAATACACCTATACAGGGTTATTTTTCAAACAGTAGCCCAATTTTTAGCTTAAGTTCAAATATATAAATATGTAATGATATACCATTATAGCAGTAGTTGAAAATACGAGTAAAGACGTCGCTTATTTTCATCATGGGTTTTAATTTTTTGGTACGGAACCCTAATTATTTTTCTAAAATAAAATTATCATAAGTTACTCCTTATAACATCAGCTATTTGTCAGTGAAAGTCCCGTCAAAATCGGTCCAGCCGTTTCGGAGATTATCCGGAACAAACAGACAGACAGACACAAAAATTTATATGAGACCAGATGAGAAACACCAGCTTTCAAATAAAACAAGAATCATCGAAATTGGTTCACCTAGAAAAAAGTTCTGAGGTTTATCACACACAAAAAATACAGTGGAATCGAGTACCTCCGCCTTTTTTGAAATCGGTTGAAAAATAACAGGACTTCAGTAAAATGTCATAGATTGATCCATTTATGACATAAATCCAAGAAGATTAAGAGAATTAATTGCTCCCTCTTCTCCCATATAAGGCAACTATGAGAATATTCAGAAAGCCTCATGGGGGCAAAACCATCTCCAGGAGAAGGTGTGAGGCACATGATATTGGAATCACCATTGACCCTGCCTAGCATTATGATAGATGCAAATCCTTCCTGCAATAGAAGATACCCAAGTCCAACAGTTGAGAGTTACAAAGTGCAAAAAAAAATTGAAAATATTCTAAGTTATACCACCAATTGGCAGTGCATGCAGTAATACAGCAGTATTGCAGTCTGGAGGGAATAAAGAACCAGTATAATTACTGGTTATGGGGCATTCCCTCTCAGTCCTTAGAGGTGACAACATATACATAGCCTCCTTTGTTCAAAACTGGCTACAGGTGTCCATGGACTGAAGTAGGTGAACAATAAGTTTGTTTATCACTCCATTTTTATAGAAAATAGTAACACGCTGAATGATGCATTAAATATGGTGCTTGAATTTATTATTTCAATATAATATAAATAAGACTTACCAAGCATAGAATGGTTCATGTAACTCAGCATAAGGGATGTTCAAAAGACCTTTCACTGTGTATACATTGTTCCATTGTGGTGGATTTTCTGCAAAAAAAAACCTCAATTATATTATTGGGTATATAATCTCACCTACGCCCCCCACATATCTCATAGTTGAGAATTAAGGAACTGCTATGGAGCATGGCATCTGTTGGGGTTTCAATTCCTTTATTGGCTAAGCCCACAAGCTTCAATGCTGTTTGTTCCAAACATAGTCCCATTCTGACCCTTGAGTCTAAATTTATTTAACAATCACATATAACTATTTGAACACAAATTTTCAATAGCTTAAATTATTAATTTAATATTGAGTATATTTTACAAGTTCCATATACTCATGAATGGTTACTTTCATTTAAGTTGCGCTTTTGCTTCTTCTTTTGTATGACAGTTTTGATCATTCACCAATGTGAAAGTAAGTTGCACTTTCCAGCCTTATGGGTTAAGCCCATGTTTTGAACAAGTATGTATCAGTCTATAGATAACTATTTAGGTTATGGTAGATAAGTAACCAGGTAGAATGAATCCTAAACATTGGATAACAAGTAGTAAACTTAAAAGTTTTGAACAACCAAATTCAATATAAATGAGAACATCATCAATGCTGTCAAAGTCAATTAAATATGCATTATTAAGGATAACTCAAAACCTACTGGTCAGATCTTGATCAAATTTATATGGGACTACATGAGAAGCATGTGCTTTCAAATAAAAAAGAATCATCAAAATTGGTTCACTTAGAAAAAAGTTCTGAGGTAACACCCATAAAAAATACAGTTGAATTGAGAACCTCCTCCTTTTTTTAAAGACGGTTGAAAACAGTAGAATAACTATATTACCAAGTTGTAATTGCTGTAACTTTAAGTAATCTAATAAATAATTAAAATCTAAGTATGTTGATTATAATCAATTTTTGCAAAGATCAAAAACATTGTAATTTTAAAAAACCCGGCCAAGAGCGAGTTGAACTCTCGCATGATGGGTTCTGTGCAATTGTAAAACATATTTCTAGTAGGGGAGCCCCCTTTAGTTTCTAATTTATTTTTATTTTCCTTATTTACTGTTATAGCAGCAACAGAAATACACATACTGTGAAAATTTCAACTGTCTACCTATTATGGATCATGTGATACAGCCCGCTGACAGACAGACGGATGGACTGCAGAGCCTTAGTAATAGGGTACCCTTTGGATACGGAACCCTAATAAAAAAGATGGTTGGGTACTGTTATTGGCTTCAGATTCAGTTATAAAATCAAATTCAAAGCCAAGTATACCCATACAATACTTAAAGACATACTAATGCAGGTACCAGGATAAGCATTTTATTTACAAACTGTAGGTAAAACAGATTACAAGCTAAAAATAGTTACTAAAAGCAGTAGAAATATTAACTATGATGTCAATGTCCAAAAACTAATAGTAGTTCTACAGAGTACTAGGAATATTGAGAATTTAAAATAAGAGAAAAAAATATGTATAATAAAACACTTAAGAAATCAGATTTATTGAATTTGAGATACCTACCTCAACATAAAAAAAAAACATAATAATAGGTAGGTGACAATGCATTGATTTATGTGAAGGAATTTTCATCTTTACAAAACACTAGGCACTGGTGGAGGGGTCATAAGGTGTACAACTTAATTTTTTTATTTTTCGCAGCAAATTTATCATACAAAAAGGATACAAATTAAATGAGATAAATTTATCATTTTTAAATCACACCAGCACAAATATAAAATGTATATAATAAAGTGCAAGTATTTACAGAATTTGAATCCAAATATCCATTATATTTTCAACAACACTTGTGTCAGAAATCATACAAAACATATTAATGTTACACTAATATGTAAAATTGAGGGCAAAGAAAACTTACGTTTATCCACATATCCAAAGGTTGTGCCAACGAAGAGGCATAAAATTAATTTAAAAAACATTCTGTACGAGCAACCAACTTCGCAGTCCTGCACAGAATGAACAGCTTGAAGTTAAACAAACCGAAATAATTTTATTCACTCAAGCCAAAGACATACATTCACAAAATCGCGAAGTCAGCAGTACTTACAAACAATCATACTTGAAACAACATATTATTACAAAACAACAGTAGTAAATCTGCTAATCTGTTATACCGCACGCATATTATGCGTATGTTATATTATATGATAGGTATATTATATCGCACGAAAGCAAATTAACAACTTTAATCAAAAGAAAAAGAAGAATGTTGTTTTGATTTGCAATTTGAATTTTATTTTATTTCTGCGGCTGATCTAGTGATGGGTCAACTCGAGTTGCAGCTGTTGCACTTAACTCGAGTTAACTCGTGTTGGATCTCCCTAACTCGAGTTTGGGCTGCTGTACATGATCGGGTCAAGTGAACCAGCAAAAGAGTAAAAGCGGGATTCGTTCGTTGTGTGCGCGCTTTGTGTTTTAAAGAGTATTCAGCTACAACCAAACAATTTGTCATTTAGAATTATATAATAGCTAAGTTATGTAATTTAATTTCTTTTATAATTTTGATTTATTATGATCAATATAGTTATGTATCTCGCAGACCTATTATTGTAATACCCGAAAAGGGTGGTTAAGTTGTAAATTAATTAATAATTGTTTTAAATTAACTTACAATAAATATTATGAATTTGAAAATTGAATTTATTTAAGGATATTTTGACTGTGATAATTAAACAATTAATAACTTATTTACCTACATCTTAAAGCTAGACTAATATTGTATCGTGAAGATTGTTATATAGTTAGTTTTGTCGTTAAATACATGTACTTACTATTACTAACATTAAAATCAGGAATACATAAGTATGTAATACATGCTAAATATACCTTTTTATTTTCTACATAATAAGTTTGGTAATTATAGTTATACTAGCCCAGATAGAAAAACAAATTTATAAAAAAGTAATTTGTAACAAGTCATTAAGGGTGAATTCGACCAAACTCAGTTTAAGTCTTATCCTGAGAATAAAATCACTAATTACTCTTTAGTTAGAGAACTTTTATTTTACCAAATCTTAACCCAGGTATAACTGTGTATCCGAGACTCTTTGATCCGAGAGTAAATTGTTATACCGCCAAAATTCATGGAGTAAACAAGTTATCCCAGAGTATTTTAATGGCGGCCGCTACATTTTAACAGCTGTTTTCGTATGTTTTGTTGAAAAAGTAGGATATATTACTCTGTTTACTGCTAACTCGAGTTGCGTGAATTTCAACTCGAGTTGTAATTTTTTCGAGTTGGCATATCTATCTATAGGCTGATCGGCCGATCTGTAATTCTTTTTTACTTAAAGGCAACGATAGGGCAAAGGGATCAATGTCCATACATCCTGCACTTAGTGTTTTGTAAAACTGAAAGCTTTAAGGAAACTTCGAAAGAAGCGCTTTGTGACAAACCCGATCGAAGGCCTTGGCTATGTACAAACTAACAGCCAGGACCCAAATGCCTCCACACAGCGGTGAGTCAGGAAGGCAAGAAGATCACCAACCGAGCGACCTCGATGACGGTCATTAATCAGTTTATGCTGTGGTAATTGGCAGTTAACAATGGAGTATCAAACCAATTCTGCCGATGTTCTCTGACACTGCCCTAGCAATGACTCCTTTGCTGAACCTGGGGACAGAATTATACTTCTTTTTAATCTGCATCCGATGGGCACCACATATGAAAGAATCAGCAACAACGTTGGGATAGAGCAAGAGTAGAAGCAAATTCACCCCCATGGATAGGACACAAAAAAACCGCATTTCATCCCAATCCGCAGACCTATATTGGCACACAGTAGTAGCCTACAAATTGAAAGAGCGTGCCCCCCTCCCTCCCCCAGAATACGCGGGGCAACCTTGGCATCCACGTCCAGAAGAAAGATAGTTTGTATTCATGGATGCCCAGAGACCCAGCGAGGGATTCTCACAGTAGGTAACTCTGTCCGCAAGATCAGAGACGCAGTTATCACATTAAAATATTTTCTGACGCCTTAACTATGTGTTGGGAAACATCCGCACTATCCACGATCAAGCACTCGGAAGAAGAGGCTGCTGGTCCAACAGAACATATCGTTCAGAATGACTTGATAGCAAGCGACCTGAAAATGGAAGCAATCGAAGAGTTTGTGACCGTCTGACGCGCGGTCTTTTACGAACTCACTGACATGGACCACATCCTCATCTAAACATGCCTGTGATTTTAAATATTGGAAATTTGTCTGAAGGAAAATGCGTCATGTATTTAAGGCTAGTAGCAGTATATTTTGGTCTAGTGTTTGCAAATAATTTGCAAGATGATCAATTGTTAGTTACTACGCATCCATAAATATACCGGAAATAGATAAAATAACCGAATGGGTGGCGAACAATATCCTCGACAGTGGTGTGAATTAAGGAAATGATACTTATGCATACTTTATTAAATTTAGTGATAATAAAGTAGCAAACCCCGAATCGCTCATATATACCTATTCAGGCACTAACAAAGTTGGCCTTTCAAAAAATTGTACATAAATTTTGTGCACCACAGATTAATATTTTCGACTATCTTTTAAATAAAAAGTGCCTATTATGCCATAAATGCTTTCACCATCTGCTAGACTCAATATTTTTCCCACACATTTCCTCCATTTTTGGTGATACTGATAAAGGTTAGGAAAATTATATCAGAAAAAGCAAACGGCATTATTGTTGTATATGCCTGTATAATACAACAATAATGCCTGTATAATGCTGAACTTATTTGAAAGGGCTCATAAAGACCTAGGTGGTTGTTATGACCTCACCTTTCTGATGGTGCAATCCGAAGGTGGGTATAGAATCTCAGTGACGGCACTAGAAGAACGATCGTGTTTAAACTCATTTGAAAGGGCTTATAAAGAAAGACCTAGGTAGGTGGCTGTTATGACCTCACCTTTCTGATGGTGTAATCCGAAGGTCGGGATCGTGTTAGGGGTCATTTGAAAGGGCTCAAGAAGTAACTAGTTGAAATACCCTTTCAGATTAGTCGTGGTTTGTGGCTTATCACCAGACTGTGTAATAGTAAAAACAGTATTATTACTCACTGTATTATATTTTGAAGCAATTAAAAAACCAGCAAAAGTTCCTAGTAGGCAGGGACTTAAATACCGTTAAAATACAGTAACGTTATCTGCGCAAGTGCGAGATAACGTTATGTTTAAGAGAAACGATATGTCAATACGATATTATGCAAAGCTTTGCATGTATATAACGTTATAATTACGTTACAATAAATTTGTCAAATAAACGTTTCTAAAATATTGTTATCACAAAATCATAATGTTATTATTTATTGTTCTATGCCATCTCTTTTACTCGTATGATCTATCGAACGCAGTGCTCTAAAGTTATAGGCTAAAAATACGTTTTGTGGTCGTCAGCGCAGCAATTGAATTATCAACTATAGTAGTACATACAACTCGGAATATGGGTGTTTCAAAATAAATAGTTCATAAACTTTGTATTACATTCATAACAATAAAATGATGTTCTTAATATCTTACTGCATACATTAAGGATTGTGTAGACAAAATAATTGTATAGAAGTTGAAATATTCTTCTATATTATTGTTAAACTAGATTATATGTTAGATTGCCCTTGAATTTCATAAGTAATGTGAAAAAAAACATGCCTGAGTGTCGTGAAACACTCGGTTGCAACGAAGTACATTTCATAGTATATTATATTATTATTATTATTGATAAACATATTATATTATTGATTAACAAGTACAATGAATTACTAGCGTCTATTAAAATTAAGCGTCATTTAAATAAAATAATATTTCTTTCATGGCAAGATAAGAAAACGTGGGAGGGGAAAAGAAGGGGTCGTGACGGAAAAATCTTACATTTTTTTCTCGCCTAGCCCCCATCCGCCAAATTCGTACCGTCCGATAAGGAACTTCGTTCCAATAAGTTTGCCTTGTCTATTTAATTTGTTTGAATTCCAGATTGATATTCCACATAGATCATCCACATATCAATACAGAGTTGAACATCTACTTAGCTTATCTGCTTATACTACATCAATCAGTAGTATTGAAGTGACACCAAGAAAGAATGTTAAAAAAATGCTCAAAAGAAAGTATAGGATAGAGAATAGAGAGTATAGAAAATAGAGAATAATTTTTTATTCAATATAGATCACATGTGTAATTCTTAATTATTTTTGGTTTGTTACGCTAAAAAAGTGTAAATTCCTACGTGCATATATAAGTACACACATACTTTTTATTACATTAAGCATCTCACAACTTAAAGAACAGTGCAATTTTCATAAAAATCGCTTCAGTAGTTTTCAGGATATGTTCTGTTAAGCGTAAAGTCGGTTTGAATTTATAACCGACTTCCATAGAATTATTACGCGTAATAATTCTATGCCGACTTCAAAAAAGGTTATCAATTCGATACGTAAGTATGTAATCATAGAATTATTGCGTAATAATTCTATGTATGTAATATTATTGGAACTACAAAATATTCACATATAATTATCTATTAGGGCTCCCAGGCAAATATACACAATTTTATACGTGTATATATGTATGTATGCTTGTATACGCATTTCTACGAAACGAGTCCGATCGTGATCATTCATTTTTCATTTATTTCAACTTAGGGATTATTTGCTTGCATTTATTTCAACTTGGGGGAATAATATCGATTTCATCAAAATCGATTCACTAGTGCTTATGATATTGGCTAAAATAATATTGCTTAGTTAAATAATTAATATTGTAATTTTCTTTATGGTTGAGTTATACATAATAAATGCCTTTGAGACGTCTAAGACTTTAATCTCTCCTGTGACCATGATTGCTGTAAAGTATTCGAAACGTCAGGAAACAAAACTTAATAATAATAATAATCTTTATTTTCTATATATATATATATATATATATATATATAT